TGAAATCAGCATCTTCAAGAAGCTGGTCAGCAGAAGGAAGCATGAAGTGCTCCAAAATTTCTTGGTAAACGGGTGCAGTGACTTTGGTTTTCAAAAAGCACAATGGACCAACACCAGCAGATGACATTGCACCCCAAATCATCACAGACTGTGGAAACTTAACACTGGACTTCAAGCAACTTGGGCTATGAGCTTCTCCACCCTTCCTCCAGACTCTAGGGTCTTGGTTTCCAAATGAAATACAAAACTTGCTCTCATCTGAAAAGAGGACTTTGGACCACTGGGCAACAGTCCAGTTCTTCTTCTCCTTAGCCCAGGTAAGACGCCTCTGATGTTGTCTGTGGTTCAGGAGTGGCTTAACAAGAGGAATACGACAACTGTAGCCAAATTCCTTGACACGTCTGTGTGTGGTGGCTCTTGATGCCTTGACCCCAGCCTCAGTCCATTCCTTGTGAAGTTCACTCAAATTCTTGAATCGATTTTGCTTGACAATCCTCATAAGGCTGCGGTTCTCTCGGTTGGCTGTACATCTTTTTCTTCCACACTTTTTCCTTCCACTCAACTTTCTGTTAACATGCTTGGATACAGCACTCTGTGAACAGCCAGCTTCTTTGGCAATGAATGTTTGTGGCTTACCCTCCTTGTGAAGGGTGTCAATGATTGTCTTCTGGACAACTGTCAGATCAGCAGTCTTCCCCATGATTGTGTAGCCTAGTGAACCAAACTGAGAGACCATTTTGAATGCTCAGGAAACCTTTGCAGGTGTTTTGAGTTGATTAGCTGATTGGCATGTCACCATATTCTAAATTGTTGAGATAGTGAATTGGTGGGTTTTTGTAAAATGTGAGCCAAAATCATCACAATTAAAAGAACCAAAGACTTAAACGACTTCAGTCTATGTGCATTGAATTTATTTATTACACGAGTTTCACAATTTCAGTTGAATTACTGAAATAAATGAACTTTTCCACGACATTCTAATTTATTGAGATGCACCTGTATGCCGTGCCTCCAAGCTTTCTTACTCGTTTTGCTAATAAACGTTCTACGTTTCTTATTTATTTGGTTATATATTATACATATTTACTTAGCCTATTTCCAGTTTTGTTAATAAAAGTTATGTTTTATATATACGCTAAAGTGAGTTTGACGTTGTATTTTGTTGTTGCATTCAAGCAATTGACACGAACTGCCGCTAATTCGAAAGTGAAAGTAAAATGCGCACGGCGCTTTTAAGCTATTTAAAAGCGAAGGAAAGTGAGGAAAAGAGGGAACGCCCCGCCCCCACGGTGATACCGGTATTACCGGTGTTGTCACACGTCGATTAACCGGTGGGAAAATTTCCTCACCGTCACAACCCTACTTCACACTACAGTTTCCGGTGCCTTGAGTCTGCTGTTGAGAGAAATTAAAATAGTGCACTTAAAAGACGGAGAGCGAAACTCTCAAGCGTGCGGTGTTCAAAATGAGTGAAGGCAAGTTAAATATCTGTGTTAAACATATAGTTAGCCTCTAACTCAAACACTGGTGAGTGGAATCTGGGGCCGGATACACAAAAAAACTATTGTAGCAAGTCTGAAAAGTGTGTTATATTCTCTTCAGGTGTGATTTAAGTGCATGTATGTTCTGTTCCTGTGTTGTGTGTTCTTTTGAATGGGGGTTTTATGGGTGGGCTGTTTGTCAGAAGAACGAGTCTGCGCACTCGTGTGTGGGTGGAGTTTTGGGAAAAGTTCCAGAAGTTTTTTCTTTTTTTTGTCGAGGCAGAAGCATTCGTTACGCAAGCGCTCACGATAATAAAAACGTCAAGTGAGTCTTAGCACTTGTTTTTGATCGTTACACTATTAAGAAATAAGTTGCAATTCTTGAAAAATTCGTAAGTTTTCAAATATTCTTTTAAGAACATCTTATTTTTTTCTTAAGAAGAAAATTACAGTCTTTGTCTGATTGAACAAATGGCAGTTCTTGCTGAAAATTTACTGATAAACCCAATGAGAAAAACGTCAAGGATTGTTTGCGCTACCTGCAGATTACCGTAATAATCATAAGCACGCACACTATTGTCTTCACGTCCAACTTGACTAGCGCTCAGCTTCGCATTTGTATGTTTTTGAACAGTTACATTTAAAGAGCTTGTCTCAGGCGATCTGTTCTATTAATTTATTGTTAGATAAAATTGGATAGTGAAGAGCAGAGTAGAACACTGGTACCAGGGACAAAGAATGACACAGACACAGGAAGTGAGGTTCACTCAAAGTCAGCTTTATTATGCTCATGCTAGGGTTTATATAGCAAGTCTAGTTTTAGTTAACTATAACTAACAAGTCTGTATATGGATAAACAGAATAACTAACAGCTTATTAAGATAGACAAATTACTACGTATACAATATGAAACGTTACTTCTTGTGGAAAATAACTAGCACATGCTTTAGGGGCGTGCATGAATACAGTAGATTACACAAATTATCAGACAGAAAAAGAGATGCAAACACACTTATCTTAACATTTATGCATGGTCATTTTGAGTGAATGCATCCTGTACCGTATTTACAGATTTTTAAGAAGATTATTTTAAGAATTTGAATTCCGCTTAAGTTTTGTTTTAAGAACAATCTTTAAGAAAAATAATAATTGTTGGGAATACAAAATATTGTTAACTTTTTTTATAAGTTGTAATATAAGAAGAAAATGGCAGTTGAGAAGAAATTTCTTCTTAAGCATGTTTCTTAAATCCGGCCCCTGTTTCTCCATCCATTAAAGGGATAGTTCACCCAAAAATGAAAATTCTGTCATTAATTACTCACCCTCGTGTCGTTCCAAACCCGTATGACCTTCGTTCATCTTCAGAACACAAATTAAGATATTTTTGATGAAATCCGAGAGCTTTCTGACCCTGCATAGCCAGCAGCGCAACTACCACGTTCAATGTAGTAAGGACATCGTTAAATGTGACATCAGTGGTTCAACTATAATTTTATGTAGCTGTGAGAATACTTTTTGTCTGCAAAGAAAACAAAAATAATGACTCTATTCAACAATTTCTTATCTTGTGTGTAAGTCTTCGACGTGCGTTCACAACAGTACCACAATGCATTCCTCTGCTTGAAAACAAGGTGCAGCTCATCCGGGTTCTACGTCAGAACGCTGGCTCCTTCGTCTGCAGCATCACACGAATACGCCTGTGCCTTGAACGTGATAGTACCATTGCAGTCTATCCAGGGTCAGAAAGCTCTCGGATTTCAACAAAAAATATCTTAATTTGTGTTCCTAAGATGAACGAAGGTCTTACG